TAACGGAAAACACTGACCAATCAGAGCGCGAGGATGCCGATGGAGCGTAGGCTACGCGCTAGGCGGCAGCGCTCATACGCTACTGCAAGCGCTCCATCGGCATCCTCGCGCTCTGATTGGTCAGTGTTTTCCGTTAATATCTCCTCAACGAAACCTCGGACAACATTTTCGCTAAGGAAAAAGTTGTTTCAAATCACCCCCCGAACCACCTCTTTCAAGGTGTTACAACATTTCTGGGACACCCTGTATTCAAAAATTCCAACAGCAAACTAAACATTTGTTTCCAAAATAAGTTTATTCGTAGACGTCTGGTCGCTCGACACTTTTTCTTACAATTAATAGAATACATCGATAAAGTTTGGTTGAACGTTTTAGTAGCACCCTTTATTCGCCCGAATGCAACGTAGAACTGTCCTCTATGTACGGTACTGGACGTGTTATCCCCTCCATGCGGTATTACGATTACGTTCGCCATATCATTGAGCGTGGTGCTTCACTATATCAACCGGTATATCGAGAATCACGAACAATCTGTATCGGGATAATACGCATTTGCAAATGTGGTACCTTTCGAAATATACTGCAATTGATTTTACGGAGATAATCACAAAGTTAAGCCGATAAAAGGTAAGTAAACTTTGACTTGCCACGTACCATAAAGATCAAAGTTGGAAAACCGTCGTCATAGATAGCGATTCTCAACTTTGTTGGTGTCAAACGAATATATTTCTTACTCCTTTTCGTCTTTACATGATAACTTGTAGAAACACGTTTATTTTCTATCCGTGTAACGTTCTTCGCAATAATTTTATTTATTATTGTATTTTGTTATTCGTAGATTTTTAATTTCACAAAAAATGTTATAATTGCCATGTATGTATAAGTGACATTGTAATCAGCTGATCCTTTGTTTAGAATGTTTCCATTTGAAATTCTTATTGTAGAGTGTTTCATTAAAGCATAATACTTTATTTATAACTTGAGTTATCTTTTGTTAATATGCATTTTTATCATTGTAATATTAATTTTTACCAGAAAGTGTTAAAAAGCACATCCTTGTATAAAGTTTGGTGGACATGGATGCTAATTTATGTGAAAAAAATGAAATGCTAGTGCAAGCAGGTGTTGTTACATTCCAAGACATATCATGTGACAAAAATGAGAAAACAGAAGTATCTAATTGTCAATGTATAGTCAATGATGAATTGACATATACACAAACAAAAGGAAAGGTAAGTGAATATCCACCTTCTATCATGCATAAAAAAATGTTTTAAAATAATTAAAATTTAATATTAATTTCTATAATGTGTATACAAGTACATTTCATTGCAGGCATTACACATAGATGCAACAAACATTCCTTCCAAGCTAAAGAAAAGTTTGTCTAAAATTAAAGTAAAAAAACCTAAACTTGAGCGGGAATCAAGTTATGATTCTACAAAGTTAGAAGATAGTCCAGCGCAAGTATTAGAGCGATTTAAACGTGGATGTGAATGTCAGGATGATCAGTGCTTTAAAGGTCTAAATTCTGAAACTGTATACCGGCACAGACTGAACATTGCAGAATTAACAAAGGCTGAACATGATATGTATTTAATGGGTGTTACCATGGCATGCTTGACAAATCCATATGAAACAGCAAGACATACAGAGCGGCGTAGATTGCGAGCACAGTATGTGTATCAAGGTCGAAGAGTTTGTTTAGATGCTTTTTTATACTTAGAGAACTGTACGCATTACCAAATAAAAAGAATTAGGAAACATTTAATGACTCATGGCGTGACACCGCGGGTTCATGGAAATCACGGAAAAATTCCACACAACACGTTTTCCTTAGATATTTATAAAATTGCCACAGAATTTTTAAAAAATTTTATGGAACTTCAGGAAGCAAAACAAAAAACTAAAGTTGCTAAACATGCACAGTTACATCTTCCGTCTGATATTACGCGTAAAGTAGTATATGATTCGTATATACAATATTGTAGGAAACTATCACCTAATATTAAAATAATGGGATATTCGACATTTAGGAGATTTATGAAAGTTCAATTTCCGCAAGTAAAGTTTGCAAAATTAGAATTTGTAGTTAGAAATCAAAGTGTACAAAGTCAAGGGTGTAGCAAAACAGATTTGGAGAAGAAGGATCTCGCGGATGAAAAATTATCCGAGTCAGCAAACTTAATAACAGAGGATGGTGCCTTATTACCTTTATTAATTGCTAGTGAAACGGGACAAAGCGATACTTATTTTTTGACACCAGTCAGCAAATTACAAGATGGTATAAGTTATCAGATAACTACAAGTGGGCTTCTAGTCAATAAACCAGCATTGCCCATCACTTTAACTAAAGTAAACGCTATTTAAAAATAAAAATTTTTATATATAAAATAATATATGTAATAATATATTTATATACTTACACAAAAAATAAATATTTAAGTGATATTTTAAACATCAAATTTTATCTTGACAAAATGATTTTATGGTTGACATTATAAAAAATAAGGGTTTTCTTGGTTTAAGAGCTTTTATGCAACTATATTCATTAAGAATCTCATGTTTTATGGCATGATAATTTATCCCGATTATGTACAAAAAATATTAATAAGTATTCTATATTGAAAATATTGAAACGCAGTATTAACTACCTAAGAAAAAAAAACTGTTAAAGAGAGACAAATGTTTGTTTAATAGACAAGTATTTGGAATGTATAACCATTTAGTGATATAATGGTATCATTATGTTATGTAGATGGTGTATGTAGGTTACACAAGTTTTTATTATGTGTATTAGAATAATTTAATGCAAATTCATACCCCATATTTTAATGTAAAAATAAATATAAATACTTAAATATAGCCCATATTATAACTGATTTATATATATTTATAATCTCTTATATAAAATATCTTATTCTAATAAAAATCAATATCTACAGTCAAACATGTAAAATAAGTATTTACAAAAGTTAAGAATTCGATCTGATTGTATTATGTTAATGTTTACATTTTATACAACACAAATGTGTAATAAATAATTGAGCAATAAATAATTTGTATTTTTTCAATATATGAATAAGTTTTTTTTGTTTTATTCTTTTATATTTTAAGCACATAATTGTTATTTGAATGATAAATTTAAATATAATAACGACCAAATCCAAAAATTTAAATCACTTGATATCATAGTTAAACTCCAAGTATGTAAATCAAGGAACTGAAGAATCTTCGTACAGTGGCTCACAAATCATTTAAGAATGAATCAACAGGTCACAAATTAAAATGCTGTTTCTATCTTTTTATAATATACCAATTATTAATATATAGAACCATGTTTATTTGATATTTACCTAGTAACTTGGTATATATATATATAGTTTTTTGTTTTCAAATGCATTACATCTTATTATTCATTCAGTTCAAGTTTGAGAGCCTCTTGTTTTACAGTTACAGCAGAAATGTTGTTGGTACAACAGGGAACTGCTTCAGTTAGAGTCAGCAAGGTCATATGGGTGCACTCTGAGGTCTCAGTCATATACAGTAAATATTGCATAAGTGATCATCAATACAAACTGTAATAACATAAAACCACATCATGGTTGAAGTCATTTTTTAGAACAGTAATATATTTTTAGCAATGATGTATTGTAAGAGTTACGTATGCTAAAAGAAGCTTACAAAGTTTATACATTAATTTACTGTGCAAAGTTAACAATATCAAAGTTCAATCAACCACAAGATGATGGTAATTTAATTAATTATACATAACAGTACTATAAATTATGTAAATAATATAAGCTTTAAGTACTATAAGTGTAAATGTTTTAAACTACGATATTTAAATTGTTTAGCATCATATGTACCCCTTATGTACATTTATCTTTACAATCATGTAAGTTGTTTAAATCTATATAATATAATCAAATTTGTTTTACACAGAAGATGTAGAGAGTATGACTGGTGAGATTGAAAATGGAGATTTGGCAATCCGAGATGTTGCAGACCTTCTTCAATCACAGTATGCTATTATAGCAGGTAATTAAAGTCTACATTAACTAGTATTGTATAAGATTACTTTTTAATCATTAGTTTCTGATTTTCATTTACATTTTGCATGTACTCATAGGAGGAAAAACTCGAGAGGGTTGTCCAATAATTACCTTTCCTGATAATGGTAACTTTCATAATTTATCTGACTTGGATTATCAACGTCTCATGCTGTATCTTACTTCTGTGCCAACGTGAGATCTTAACTCTTATGTTGTTATTATTGTTGTCTATAAACTTCGGTTATTTGAAAGTGTTAATGGTGATTTTCAGTTTACAAGAAGCTGATCTTGGGTTCCATTTAATAATTGATAGAAGAAATGATAAGTGGAACTCTGTGAAAACTGTCTTATTAAAAATCTCTGTAAGTATGCATATTGACAAATATTATGGTTTAACAAGAGGTAAAATAATAAGACTAGATATTATAATGTAATTATTTTATTCTTCAGGGTTTCTTTCCTGGTTTAGTGCATGTAGCATATGTTCTTCGTCCAGCTGGATTTTTACAAAAAACTATATCTGAAGTGTCAAATAGATTATTTCGAGAAGATTTCAAGTTCAGGGTTATATTTTTAGCAAACATTGTTGAACTTCATGAGTTTATAGATAAAGATCAGCTAACCGAGCAACTTGGTGGCAGTCTATCATACTGTCATCATACTTGGATACAAAACAGAATCGTAAGATTTTTATCTATAAGACAGAAAAAAAATAGTATAGAAATATGTGTTGCGACATTCTAATTTTATTCATATTTCCTATAGAGTTTAGAAAAATTTTCATCAATGACACAAGACGTATCTTTTGCATTGGATTCTTTTACACGGCGGTTAGCCGAGATTGAATTTCCCAACAACACCGTTGCAACCACATCTTTGTTATCCCAGCAACAAGTCGAATACAATGAATTAAAAGAAGAAATCCTTAGTGCTGCAAGACATGGTGAAGCACTTTTAGACAGTGTACGACAAGTAACTGGCAAGGGAACAGCTGATAGACTAGGAAATGTTGCGGCGGTAGAAAGGTGCGAGATAATTTAATTTAAGAATAAATTGATATATCGCGTAGTTCCTAAGTATAAATAGAGATGTATTGGAATCGTTTTCAGATTGCTTGTTCAACTGGAAGAAACAGAACGCACTTTTGACTTGTTTTGGTCGCATCACAGTTCTCGTTTAAGGCACTGCCTAGCTTTGAGACAATTCGAAGCTGACTTTAGAGAATTACAAGCAACATTGGACCAACATTTAAAAACTATAGAAGATATGACGGAAGTAGGAGAAACTCAAGCACGAGTTGAACAGTTACTTTGCGACACATCGGCGTTTCAACGAATATGTAGAGTATGTACCTCTATTTTATATACATCTGCATCATTCTATATTGTTCAATAAAAACACCTGTTCAAATTTATGATGCAAAGCAACAAAAGTACATAAGATTAACGTCAGCCTAAATAGATATTTTCATAAACAAGAAAGGATAACATTCATATGATATATATTTAGTACCCATTAAACAGTTATTACCACATGTAAATTACTATACATGTATCATTCTCAATCATACACAGTTAATGAAATCATATAATTAAAGAAATCAAAGTAATAGAATATTAATGGCTTTAAGTTTGAGAATGTTCATAATGCACTTAAAGCAACATGATGCAATATCCAAACCAGTATAACATATCGTTTGATCCGATATTACATGTAATAAATTTGTATTAGATATTGTTAATAAATTTCATGTATAATACAAATTCTGGTTTGGATACTTTGGATAAACTGTCACACATACATATAATGCACATCATGCACAAATGTTACTTTGCACCGCTTTCCTCATTTTGTCGATAGTCCTATTTGTTGCATACCATGTGGATTTGGGTCTTGGTAAGCAGTCCACTCAACAAAATACATATATTTTGTAATAGATTTACATTTTTAAACACAGTGACAATAATTTAGTACTTGAAATATTAAATTCTGTACTTATTATATTTCGAAATAAAATAAGAAACGAATTACTCTTAGCAGTTTCTTTATGGGTTTGTGAATTAAATCTCTATCAAAGGTATTCTCTCGATAGATGCATATATATGTATATGTTGTAAGTTCAAAAATCGTACATTCCGAAATAAAAAAAAAAATAGGGATTTAATTCATGCTTTGTACTGGCATGATGGGTCTTTGAGAATGAATATCATTGTTATTTCTCACTTTGCACTGCACGTAAGATAGCACCTTTTTTTTTAATTACTTTTTTTAGACGAATAATGAACATTTGATGAAAAAAAGTTCAATGACTGTTTGTAGTTTTCTTGTTAATGTGATTTCAACATTTGCTAAACATAAATAAAGTTACATACATTTATAGGGAGATATAGAACGAGCAGAGGAAGTGATATCGGCTGGTCAGCAACTGTTGTCTGGTAGGCACCAATGTCCGACGGACGTCGTAGAACCTAAATGCGTAGAGTTACAGAGAATTTGTACTATTCTAAGTCAAAGATTGGAAAGGCGACTACATATGTTATCCAAATGCAGAGAACTTATGGAACGAATAGATAAGGTAACCCTTACAAGTTAAGAAAATATTTAAGATAGAAATTTCTAATAATCTTCCGCTTGTACGCATAGGCAAATACGTGGTGCACACGTGGAGTAGAATTACTTGCATCACAAAATAATATTACACCACCCGACCAAGCGCTTCAAGAATTACAAGAATTGATAGAAGCTGCAGAAGAATTTCACCATCCCAGATGTATTTTTCAAGACTCTGTAATGCCTGAAACTAAAGCTCTTATTACACAAGTATGACAAATCATTTGCATAGCAATTCATTTTTATCTTCATGATTTGGCTTGGTATGTCTTTTGATTTGGTTTATTAGGTTTTGCAAAGAATAGAAGATGTGTCTTTAATGTGTGATAAAAGAATAATGACACTCAAGCAGCAATTGATTAAACCAGCGAGACCAGTTCAAACTGTAACACCTGAACCAGTTAAGCCACTGCAATCACTGCCTCAGACTGTCAAACCTGGAAGAATTCTGAAAAAAGCTAACACTATGCCAAAGGTAAAATATTATATTTTGCGGTTTAATATATATTGCATTATAAATTACTTTAACTGTATACGTTTTTTTAGATGGAGATGAGCCCTATAGAGGGGGAATCTTCATCGCCGGAAAGTGAGTCCAAAGATGTAGAAGCTTTACGTTTAAAACGTGGACACGTGTTGGCGGAACTTGTTGAAACTGAACGAATTTATGTTGCCGAGTTAGGTTCTATAATTAAAGGGTACAAAATGGAATTAACAAATGAGGCAATGGCACATT